CGCACTACACTGGCTCAGAAAGGTGCCTCAGCCCTGTCAAAAACCAGTGTGTCTTAGAACAATTCTACAGGCAGAGCTTCCTGGGTCCCTCCTCAGGTGTTCAAAGTTACAAGTGTTTGTAGTTTTATTATAGTTCCTTCCAGTCTAGTTGTAATTTACCAATCAGGTGTTCTATTTATTATAAACAATTTTGCCTAGTAACATGGCTGAAATAATTTATCAGATTACCAAGGAAACAAATCTAGGGAGTTAACTAAAGGCAAAATTCTCATGCAAAAAAGGAAAAAGCTTTTTTCACTCATTTGTCCTAAATCACCTATTGTGTCTTTCTCACCAAGTCAGTAAAGGAATTAGATGATATAATATGGAAATACTGTAAAAAGTCAGATTCCAGGCAAAAAACGTGCCATGACACTATTTGCATTACATCTACTTCCTCCAGAGAATTAGTATATCTTTATGTTCAACAGATACACATCTTAATTTTTTTCTGAATTCTCAACTCACCACATTTTGACATGCTTGAATCTTCTCCTGAGCCAGATTGTATTCTGCCCAAATTCTCTCGAGTTCATTCAAAGAAGCTGGGGCAGGTAAGCACCCTGCATCCAACAGCTGTACAGCAGCTGAAAGGTCATCTCCAAAGCGAACACTGGTGTTCACATGCCTGTTTTGAAAAAAGTAAAAGACCCAACATAAAAATTTTTTTAATGTATGTAAGAAAAAGTTACATTTAAATAGCAATTGTCTATATTTAATATCTACCGCACTGGCTGAATAGAGGTAGGCCTTTGACCTTTTATATAAAAGGGAAACTATAAAAGCCTTCGCAATAGACCTTCTTTTTCTGGTCTCCAATTAGATATGCAATTACTTTTTTAAAATTTCATTTCACCCAATCTTGCTTGCCAACAGTGTATAAGCACAGAGTCCTTGCACTCTAACAAGCAGAGCAATATTTGGTAAATTTTCAAATGCAATCAGAAAGCAAGTCATTTAGAAAAATTAGTACAGCCAAAGATATTCCTTTTATGAATTTACACACAGATGACCACCATTCTAATAGCACACTCATCCCTCGTATATGAATTAAAACACAATTTGGTCATTTTGGTCTTAACTCTGACTCACAACTTTATAAGTGTAAGCACTGTTTTGGTAGTGCTTTGAAACTGATTTAAGTTGGGGGGGGGTGTCGAATTATCGAAATTCTTAAACCAGATGTTAGTTAATGAATCTACACTTCATTAAACAAAAGCCTAGTGTGCTACATTCATTCAAGGCAGCATCTAGTGTTTCAGAGAACACAAGGAGTAACTAATTTAAGTTTAGTACATAGCATGAATAAGAGAATTTGATTGCTTTGAGAACTCTTTTTTCCTACATTCCAGAAAAACGTGCCACTTTTACTTACCTAACTCCTTTCAATAACTCAACTTTAGTTGCTAGCTCCTTCATTCTGGTCCCAACACAAGTCTTCAGGGTGCTTTCTAAATTTTTGGTCAAATCCATAGTAGTTGCTTTCTCTTGCTGAAACAACAAACAAGCACACACAAGTGAGACTCAGTAAGGAAATGGAATGCTTAGTGCATTTTTATATCAGTGCTAAATGCCAGGTTTTAAATCTATTGTCTTTTCTATTTGCCTTTTTCTTTGCATTAAAAAAGTATTCATCATGATTTCCAATTTTATCTTTTTCAAACAAGTGGAATATAAGCTTAAGACTTAAGAAACAATCCATCTGAAATTACTTTATATATATAAATGATTGTTTTCCTTAGTATTTTCTCGTTTGCATGCAAATGTATTAACAATTTGTTCCTGTTTCATCTGAACTGCTTGATTGCCTGTATCCTTGAAATTATAAGTTTGATACTAGGCAAGATCTCCAAGTCTTGATTTGATCATCCAATCCAATCTTTATCATGGTGATGGTTATCTGCATGTATAATCTGTTGTATTTGGCCAAGCACTATACAAGATTTGTGCATATTCACTGTATGAAGTTATAACACAATTAGGGCTTCGAATTGGTCCAAACTAGTTCAGTTAATAGATTGTTGAAGCAAAATCATAACAGATCCAAATCTGTAAAATGTTGGTTACAGGAATAGGAAAATTATGGGTCAAAGCCGTGGAATGGGAGACTTGGAAGAGGTGTAGCAAGCCCTTTCAGGAAACTGAAGGAGACTGGATTCTTGCCAGGACTGTAGAAAGCCACAAACATTCATGGCAGCATGATTAACCAACATCTTTGAGCAATGGACTCGTCTCTGACTCTACAAATCAAGAGATTTGTCAGCAACATGCATGCTGCCCTTGATTTCTAAGAGGGAGATTGAGTTTCTAGCAGGGCATCAACCTATAATCTTCCCCATTCTGGTTACTGTTAAGTACATTCACATTTTACATATTTAGGTCTATTCTGCTTTCACTTCATCAGTCATGACTGAAAGATAAAAATAGTTCAACGTCCTAATAAAATGCTTGGAAACAAAAAAACTGTATTTCCTGTCAACTAGAAATTCTAAAAGCTTATAAACAATTACTCTCTAGCCATGTACACTCCTATTCACCAGAAACTAGTCTCTTCTCATTAAAGGAACCACAACCCTCAGAGAAATGACTGTTTTCCAAGAGTAGATCAGAAGATAATATGAATATGTAACATCTTGCTACTCCAGAAAGTATACAATCAGACTACCAACCAAAAACCAAGCTCACTGCCATCAAGCCTACGCCAAGTCTGCAACTCAGTGGGCCAGGGCTGAACTGCCCCTGTAGGTTCGAGACTGTAACGGTTTACAGGAGTGAAAGGCCCGTCTTTCTTCCATGGAGCACCTGGTGGTTTGAAACTGCTGACCTTGTGAATCACAGCCCAGCATGTAATCATTACGCCACAAGCGGCCCCTTTTATCTGAATAGCAGATCATATGTGGAGGGAAGGAGGGAATGTGCACGGTTTAAAATCAGGAAAGGTGTATCGGGGTTGTATCCTCTCATGATATTTAGTCAATCTATATACTCAGCAAATGATCAGCGAACCTACAGTAAGAATGTGGCAGCAGGACTGGAGGAAAGCCTGAGATGTGCAAACACAATCTTGCTTGCTGAAAGTGAGGAGGAATTGAAGCACTTGCTGATGAAGATAAAGGACTGCAGTCTGCAGTATGGATTAGAACTCAATGTCAAGAATACCCAAACCCTCACAACTGGACCAATAGGTAACATCATAATAAATGGAGAATAAATTGAAGTTGTCAAGGATTTTGTCTTTCTTGGATCCACAATCAATGATTATGGAAGGCAGCAGTCGAGAGATCAAAAGATTAGGCAAACATGTTGCAACAAGACCTCATTAGAGTATTTCAAAGTAAGGATGTTAGAGAACTAAAGTACCCCTAGCCATGGTATTTTTAATTACCTCATATGCATATGAAAGTTGGATGCTTAAGAAGGAAGAATCATGAGGGGGTATTCCCCAAAAAGAAAAAAACAGAATTATGGGCAGGGCGAATCTTTTGTAGTATGAATTTTTCTGACTAGGCAACTTGCTCTGAGTTAGTACACCCAGTGGTGTCTCATGCGAAGGTTCTCTATGGTCAGTGAATTTTTTCTTTAAAGCAATTTCGCTTGAACCTTGTTTTTTGTGATGGCTGAATTAAGAGAACAGCTTGCAGCTGTGAAATTTTATGTATAGGACATGTGGCCACCATGACAATGCACCTGCTCACCCAGCCATCTCAGTGTGTGGCTAAAAAAACAAACAGCATACCTCTCTTGCCCCACACACCTTACTCACCTGACCTCGCTCGATGAGACCGTTTCCACATATGAAGAGGAACATGAAAGGACAGCTATTTAATGACATAGAAGAGGTAAAGAAAAAAATGAGGGCGGTGCTGCCAGCCATCCAAACAGATGAGTTTGAAAATGTTTCCAAGAATGGAATGACAGATTTGACAAACGTATTAAGTGTAATGGAGAGTATCTTGAAGGTGATAAGGTTGTTTTGTAAAAAAATTTTTAAAACCTAGCTTTGAAAAAAAAATCCATTTTTTGTGGGGTTACATCCTCATATATTTGAGTTGTGATGCTAGAGAAGAATATTGAAAGTTCCATGGACTACTAAAAGGACAAACCAATCTTTCTGGTCAAAGTATCACCAGTATGCTCAAGGGCAAGGCTGGCAAGGCTTTTGTCTTACATACTTTGGACATGTTGTCAGGAGAGACTAGTCCCTGGAGAAAGATGTCATGCTTGGTAAAACAGAGGGACAGCGAAGAAGAGGAAGGCTCTCAAGGAGATGCATTGACACAGTGGCTACAACGGATTCAAGCATACGAACATTTTGAGGATAAAGCAGGAGAAAGGGGTATTTCCTTCTATTGTACATAAAGTCGCTATGGGTCAGAACCAACTCCGTTGTATCTAACAACAGATCATGTCAAAAGCACACAGTAGCCAATACACAGGGCTTCCAAAGGCCGACGGGATTGCCCAGGCATCAAAAAGATTAATGACTATGGTAGATCAAAACACTTTAAATATGTTTAAAGTTCATTAGTCAACAGTGATTCTTGAAGCAAAAACCTTACCCTCAGTGGTCAATGTTAAATAATGCTAGGGAATAAACTTATGATTCTGAAAGCTGGTATATTAAAGGAAACAATCAAATACTTATCCCACCTTTTTTAAGCAACATGTATTTCAGCATGACAAACAATTTAAAATTTTCAACTAATAAATACCTTGATGGACGACAAAGGGAGGGAGGTTATAAATAAGAATCGACTGTTAAAATCATTAAGGAAAAGGTTGTTGGAAACTTTATAATGGTTCAGACTATTAACCCCTGAACTCATTGTCAGTCTTTGAACACACTAAAGTGGAAAAGACACAGCAGCATCTATAAAAGCATTTCTTATTATTATTAATCATTTTATTGGAGCCTTTACAGATGTTGTAACTTTTTTTCTCAGCATTACATATTTTTTTAATAATCATTTTATTAGGTGCTCATACTTTTCACAATCAGTACATATATCATTTGTGTCCAGCACATTAGTACATATGTTGCCATCATCCTCACAACACCTGCTTTCTACTTGAGCCCCTGGTTGTCAGCTCATTTTTCCCCTTCCCTCCCGCTCCTTATCATACAATCAGATCAAGCATAATTATACAATTGCTGCTGTCATCAGTTTTCAAAACATTTTTTCTTCTTCAACTCCTTGCTATCAGGTTCTCTTTATCCCCTTCCTCCTTCCCCCCAGGAAACTTTGTTATGTTATATATTGTTGTTGTCTTCTGTGTCTTATAGCATCCTGTGTTAGACAGGGTTTTCTCTAGAGAAACAAGACTAGGGCATTTATGATTTTATGTAGACAGACAGACAGACAGACAGACATATGCAAACATAAGAAATAAACAGCTAATTATAGAACAGTACAAATGGCTCAGTGCAACTCACTTCCATGAGACAGATAATAAACTGGCAGTCCTTCAAATCTCGAGGGCCACTGGGTGCAAGTCAAAGAAGCAGACAGCTGAGTGTTCTGTACAGCAATTCAGGCAATCTGGCAACAGGCAGCAAATAGCAAGGCATGTCACCACCGGTCAGCCAAATGACAGGGTCTGACAGTCCTCAGCTCAAGCGATGTATACTCCAGTAGTGTGGCAAAGCAGGTCTTGAAAGAACCTCAGGCTACAGCGACACAGTCCGTGGGTTTGGTGTCCCACAGGTAGTGTAGCTTGCAAGTTAAGGCGGAGAACCAGCTATGGCAGGTGCACACTGGTTCGATCATCAAAGAGCAAGAGACAAGAAAGGCGAGTCTTGCCAAGCCATTTATCTCTCAGCCCTTCAAGCTAATGTGTTCATTAGCCAGGTTGGCACAATAAGCCTATCACACATCCAATACATCCGTTCGCCTACAATTCCGTCATTTGTTCCTCTCAAGTGGGATTATATATTCATCATTACTATCAGTTCCCCCACCCCTTCTCTTCCCGTAACCTTAGGGAGTCATTATTCTTGTTACTGTTTCTGAAAGGTTATCTTGACTTTCATGCTTCCAAGGACCTTAATTGTACAAATAAACACACTCATGTCTAACAGGATTAATAAAGCAGAACAAGAACTATAATAGCAGAGGGGAGCGGAATAAAGAACTAGAGGATAGTTATATGTTTCATCAGTGCTGTCATGCACCCTGAACTTAACGTCCCTTCTGTGTGGCCCTTCTGTGAGGGGCTGTCCAATTGTCTTACAGGTAGGTTTGGGTCTCCACTTTGTCCACGCTCCTTCACGTCAACTTGTTTTTTGAACTTCTGATCTCTATTCCCATTACACATCATGATCACACAGGCTGGTGTGCTTCTTCCATGTGGGCTTTGTTGCTTCTGAGCTAGATGACCGCTTGTTTTAACTTCAAGCCTTTAAGACCCCAGACATTTTATCTTTTAATAGGTGGGCACCATCCGCCTTCTTCACAACATTTGTTTATACACTCATTTAGTCTTCAGCTATCATGTCGGGAGAGCGAGTATCACACAGTACCAAATTATGACAAGCCATTCTTGTATTGATGTAAGATTTGAGTAGAAGCCCCAAAGTCCATCTGTTTCCTTGTTGTTCTTGGGTTTTTTTTAACAGTTTTATTGGGAGATAATCCACACATATCATACAAGTCAGTATTTTTTAATCATTTTATTGGGGGCTCAACAATTCAGTATTTCAATCATATCAAGAAGAGTTGTACAAATCATTACTATAATCAATTTTAGAACATTTTCTTCTTTCTTTTGCTCCTTTTTATTAGCTTCCCATTTCCCTCTAACTTCCCAAGAAACCATTAATCAAGTTTATTAGTGTCTATAGTCACTCATCCTGCATTTCATATACCAACAACCATACACAAAAAAAGAAACAAAAAGGTAACAATAACAAAATAGAGGAAAACTTCAATTGAAAAGGAAACAGAAAATAATTAAACAATTACTTAAAATGGGCCAAAAGGGATATCCAAATAAGGTGTTAAATATTAACCTAGCTACATCTGTTATAATTTACTTTTCAATGCACTCTGCAAGGGTATTTATATCCCTGGTATATATTCAGGGTGTAATCTATGTGTATTTCCCCTCCACTTATTTTTCAACTGGTAAAACATTTAATTAGGTCAAAAGGAGGATCAAATAAGATGTTACGTTTTAACCTATCTACAAGAGGGTTTTGAACTGCTGGCCTTGTGGAGCACAACTGTAACCACTAGGCCAACAGGGCTCCTTACAAAGGCACAGGAAGAAGAAAAGAATGTAAGTAAGCCTGAGAAACTCAAACCCATGTTGTTCAAAGACAGACTAAATTTTCAACCACACAGGAAGTCTCCTTCTCACTGCTATAGCGTTGATACCAACTCATAGTGACCCTAAAGAGCAGGGTAGGGCTGCCCCTGTGAGTTTCTCAGATTTTAAGTAGAAAGCTCCGTGTTTCTCTCCAGGAGCAACTGGTGGTTTTAAACTGCGGAACTTGTGACTCACAGGCCAATTCCTAATGACTATGCCACCAGGGCTCCTTCGTCAAGCACCCACACCACACCTCTCCCTACTGTGATGTTCAAGGGTCAACTGTACACAAAAGCATAAGAGACAAAACATGCCTGTCACTTGTCTCCAAACAAGCAGTCATCTAACTGAGATGTCAATTAAGTCCACGTGAAGCAGCACACCATCATCAGTCACTGAAGGATTGCAATCTACATAATCCGAAGGCAAAGGAGGGATCAGTATCAGAGCCTAACTTGTGAGAATTTGCTGTGCAGAGGCAATGGATGACAGTGATAGCCCAAGACTCATTTGCGGAATTACATAGGAAATAAAGACTCTGGAGAACTCCCCCTATCTAAAATTGAGGAAAGGGAAGTAAGTGGTCACTAAACAGAGTGCTTGGGAGAGAGGAATATAGAAGATCAAAGGCATACATCTGACCTAACACTTAAAACTTTTGTCAGTAGATTCCCCTGTGATGCAGGCTGGACCTGATCTGGCTTCCAAAAATTTGTATTTGGTTTGTACTGCTTACTTTGGTTTTTGTTTGTTCATCTTAGGGTGTATCTAAGAAGTGTTATGTCAATGGAGGTCATCCTCTAGAAACAGCATTACATGCTTCTCTGTTTTTCAGTATATGAAACCTAGAATTGATGAACCTAGAGAGATAGCAAATAGAATGAGGGGTTCGGGGAGAGGGGGTACCATGGTAGTGATGAGGTAAAAGGGAAATGATGTCAAGGAGTCCATGTAGAAAAGGAATATTTGGAAACTGTGGTAGCAACTGTACATTCTACTTGGCATGATTAAAATTTGGAATGATATAAGTATTAAATCCCAACTAATAATTTTGTTTTACTATGCCAGTTAGGTAAGAGAAGGATGCAGTTGAAGAGTTGTAAGGTATATATTGACCAAAATGAAATGTATGGACCTACCTGGAATCCTGATTCTAAGAAAACAACTGTATGAAACATTCA